GAGAAAACGATCAAGAACTGAATTTTAAACATTAATGATGCTATGTGGGTGCCAATTTAATTGGAAAAAGATGTAAATTCGCACACACATGCACACGTTTTTCATAAATGAACAAAATCCATGTCTCTCTCATTCTTTCACGCATGTTTCCTTCGGGGTGGTTAGAAATTCATTTTATCTTTCATGATATTCTAATTAACAACAAAAGGAACTGTTTTCTACCAACTATCGCCCTTCTTTGGTTATGTCAAAACTTAAGAGCGAATATCTAGAAAACGGTTAGTCGGCGGAAAGTCTCACAAACCCAATCACCATAAGTTTCATGGTCATTGATTAATAAAATAAACAAATTTTAAAAAACGATGCTTTGTCTTTCAAATTGGGTGACCCCCAGAGCGTTTTCAGTAGGGTAATTTTTTGCCATTGACGTCGTATTCGGAAACCAGAGTTTTAATCCGGCTCATATTCAATAACACTGATCCTTGAACTCGTAGAAATCGATTGGCGGAGGTTTGACATCGCTCTCTCTTTTCGTTCTCGAATTAAACGAGGAACGGACAAAATCACCACATAAGGGAAATTTTTTTTCGAAAAATTCCCCAAAAAAGTGAATAATAAAACAAATTAATGTGTATCTACGTTTGTTACCTTTCTATTGTTACTTTCATTTTGTCTAGAAACATACACATTCATTTGTTTTATTTTGATGTAGGATATCTAGATTCATGTTATTAATGTGATTAGTGATTATAATAAGTTTTTTTGAAAAATTTTCTTGTATTAGAGAACTAATTACATGTTACATCATCGAAAAGAGAAAAAAATCTCTATCAAATGGGCCTAATGAAAACATGCACTGTCATTTAAAAACATTCAATTGTTTCCTGAAATAAAAACCACGGAATGCTCCCATATTATGGCATATAGAAAATGTTGTATACATTTTATATTTACCGAGATATTATATTCCATACATAATGGGCACCCTGTATAAAAGCAAATTGAGTGTCAAAATATACAGTGAGCAGTTCAAATACGGAACAAATTAATTTCAAAATCAGGTGTTGAAAAAAAAAGCTCGTACAGATCTATCATAATTTTTTCTTGTGCATTTTTTTGCGCTAAAGAGAAAATATACAGGGCGCGTTAAAAAGTAAACTTTGATTTAACTTTAAAATAGAACAGTATTTTTTACAATCCATTTATCCAACATTTGCAAATTTTGGTTACATTTTGTTTATTGCAAATAAATATTAAAAAGTAAAGTTGGTGTGTGTTATTTCCAGGAAAAAAATAATATATTCATTAATAATAAAAAATAATGCCCATTTGATTGGGTATAGCAACTGTGATTTGGTAAAGCAATTTGATAATATACAATAAATGCAAATAAAACAAATGTCAACATATTATACATTTTTGAAATCAAAATGAAAAAAATTGTTCAATTTTTGAAAAATATACAGGGCGTTCCATTATAAATTTGTGATATTCATTTGTCTTTTTACTTCATTCAATACAGTTTCTGGAGATTTATGATAAACCCTACAACTTTTTTATTTCAAGTTTTTTTTTTGTATCTGATAATAAACGGACTATGTGCTGTCTAAATATACGGAATAACCCTGTACCTACATTGTGCAAATTTTAATTGAGATCTCTGTAGAAATATACGTTTCTGTTTTAGCCATTATAGTTTGATTGATTGTTGGCTTATTTTCATTAAAAAATATGAAACTAATACCACAGATTTAAATTAGTATATTTAAATCTGTGCTAATACTGCATAACCCACCGGTCACAATTACGGAGAACGAAATCCACGTGCCTAGGCAGATGCATTCCAACTGTTAGTTACAGTGATATTTCAAAGTACTATTTATATCGTTATAATGTATACATTTGAGTTGTTATAATATGATTGCACATTTTTCCGGAAACATATGTATTTCATATATAACTTAAAAAGTTAGTGTGAACTTTTTTGTTTTGCGCTAATAAAATAATAAACTTTATACTTACCCCTTTGCTAGTATGAATTTTTGAAAACCTGGAATCAAATACATAAAGTCCTCCTGTATACAACACTAAAATGCTCGTAGAGTTATCAAGAATCTTTGTGAACTGTTAACCGCACCAGCACAATAATTACTGAAATAATCCACGACCCTTTTCTAACTGACACCGTTTTGTTTACAACTGGTGATTAAACGTTGGTTTTTCCATGCAAACCATGATTGGATTTAATGGACCACTTGTAGACTATATGCAATAAGTTATTTTATTGTTAGTAGTTTGTTCAAAAAACTTTGTGCAAACATAGACACAAATTATTTTGTACATCTTGGGAACGGTCCAAAAGTCGTCCAAATTCTAAATGGAATTTATTGTTCCTTTTTCCAAAGTATCATCTGCGGCCATTTTGTACTGTAGCGATCTAAAGAAAATGTCGTTGTTAAATCATAGCTAAATCGGTTGATCATCTATCAAGGAAAAATTCACTTCCTCAGATGTCTCTTGCTGTACATCTTATTATGAAGATGACCTAATCGTCTGTATTTTGAAAAGCGCATTGACCTATCAATTTTAGATATTCTTCATCGATTACGTAACGCTTTGAAGATTTCTTGAAAGATGATTCTGTTTGGCAACCGACGTACCTACCTACTGATTAGATTATTAACCCGTGTCTATTTGTGAATAATAAAGCACCTACGTCCTGGTCTGACGTGATTCGTTACCGCGTATTTCATTCGACGTAATGTTGTTTTTCCACCAAAATCGATTCGCCTTGAAAAAATGCAGTATGCTGAATTTGTGGTTGAAACCAAAAAAGGAACAACAGTGCAGATGAATATTATAGTGACTGTGACGTAATGAAGCTACGACATCCTTTGGAAACGCAACAAACACTAATTTGCATAATAATTTGTACACGATCTGTAATTCATACCTACTTTGAAACAATCCTTTTCTGGCAAAGGTTAGAGAAGTCATTGCATCATTTGATTTTTAGATTCGCGTAGATAGAATTAGGATACGCTTAGTATAAAAAGGTAGTGATGCATATAATTATGTAATGTTGGCATCAGTGAACATGCAAATTGCTTTAGGTGCATGCAGATGAAAAGAAACATTTTCTCGTTCGTTTTAGTCAGTCTTTTTTTTTAATTATTTACAGTGATACAATGCCAGTAATAACCTTCCACCTTTTCGAAAATGAACCTTCACCGCAACTTTATTTATGTTCATGCAATGGCAAATATGTAAATCTTTATAACAACGCGAAAGGACTTTCTTTCGTCGCTTTCGTAATGGATTAACATATTCTCCATATTTCTGAGTTTAAGGTCATTGGAGTGCAAAATCTTTTTTCAGTAGGGCAAAGCAAAGCATTAACGATGAATTTTGAAGTACATCATTAAGTACTGTTGTGATATCTTTCATATACCGCCATACATTTATGTTTTATATTGTTTAAATTTTGTAAAAAAAGTTGTCAAAATAAAAGAAGATCCTTAAATTGGTTTTATTATTAACGTATGTCCTAAAAGTTTTGGCACCAAATTCATTGGCTTTAATTTTAACAAAAACAAAATAATATCAAGCTGCCTTTCGAAACAAAAGTTGAGAGTTATTCATTTTGAAGTTTTCGCTCGTATAAATTAGAACTAAGAAAAAGTATCCACAAGTTGGTTGGGCCGAAATGTCTGAATCACCCAAAAAGTGAAAGATCCTTCTAGAACATTCTGGAGGCGCCAATGAAAGCGGATGTGAAATCACAATCTTTCCGGCACATCTCAAAACTTTTTCGTATGTTAGGTGTCTCTGATATTTACTTTACATCCGCACAAAAAAAGCCATTTACATAGGTAAGACGAGACGAGACTGAAATATAAAGGACCGGCCCTTAGTGAGAAAAAGGATTTCGTGTTTTCAGGGTGTTCGATATTTTTAAAATAATGAGTCGCAGACAGCAATTTTAATTATATATTATTATTTAAAATCAAACTAATTACAAAATACGTAATTACTGTCATCTGAAGGAGAATGATTACGTATGAAAGGTGATTAAATTGCAGGTCGAGATATAGTTGCAAGTTGCAATGATTTATCTTACAAGCTCTGATCGACATCTTTCTTCGTTTTGCACATTACATTACAAGAAAAAAGTTTTGTGCCGTATGACAGCGACGATAAGTCATATCAACTTTTGACCTACTTATTTTATTCTTCTTCCGAGAGAAGATGGGCTTAGTTATCAGTGACTTAATACTTACAAGAAAAAAAAATTAAAGTACTTATTTTACAACTCGCGTCATCGCCAACCACAACCATCCGGAATTCCATAAAAAATATTTTTATTTCCATCTGTAGATATTTACCTCAATTCTGTCCCAGAATCGACAGGAAAGGAATGGTACACTCCACAGCTTGGTGCAAAATTTAGACATCCAGATTTGTTTTATGTACCATTTGTGTCAAATATTCGATTCAGATTTGATTGATCAATCAATTGTACCAATTTTGTAATGAACCACGTTTGGGCATTGAATAATAGTGTTTTTATTCAATGGTTTGGGTCAGATTTAAACCCATAGAACTATAAATGGAAAAATTAGCTTACCCTATTCATTGAAATTTCGCGAGGCACGAGAATATGCTATAGGTACTTTCTCTTCCCACCACATTATTAAGAAGTAACGTTTGGAAATTTGCCTTTTATTTCCAATGGGAATTCTGAAAAGGGCAAAAATTTTTCTGTGAGATAACTTGTCAGCAAGGGCCTCTCTCCGATAACATATATGTGCTATTTTTAAGGCAGATATCCGGTGCTGATAAAATTATTTAGTAAACACGCGTGTGTAAATTGGAGTTCACTGGTGATGATATAATGTCATGTAGGTCACTGCTTGGCGTAAGAAGTAGGGGATTTAATTGCGATTTCATTCAATTTACTGGAACTCAAAAGTCGACTGCTTGATATAACCATGTCACAAACAGTAGGCAAATTGGAAAAACACGTTTAGAATAACAAAACTATGAGCAACTTACATTTGATGCGTTTTACACATTGCTAATTCGTAATACTGTACGCATGGCACGTGTCACCTTATTACTACCTACATTATTTTTATTTGAAAGGTGTTAGGTTAACAACAAATTCCTTTTGTTAAATAATTGTGTTTATTTACCGAACTGTTTCCAAGGTAAGTCATTTAGGTAGTTGCACCCGGAAAATAAGCAAAAATTACATAAGTTGTACTACACACACCCAGTAAATTTTTTCTTGCTTTATTAATTAAATTTCCCACATAGTAGCCGTGAACCTTCAATTTACTAACTATTAACGATCATTCTTGTTTACAAACAATAAAAAAATTAAAATATAATTGAAACTTTTCAAGACCAGATGTCACTTTCTTTCAAAAGGAAGTATAAACTATCGAAGTAAAACCGCATCTTCCTCTTTACTATGCAAACATTGCTAAAACAAACACCTCCGTTGGAATTACCTAGGTATCAGAAAAAACATCGTTTGACGTCATTTTTATCGCGTACTTCATTCAATTCATTTTCCCAATTGATAATTAAACTGTTGGACATGTTGGAAGCACGTTTTTCTACTTTAATAGTGTACTAATGGGCGGATCTTCTTCAAGGATCGCCACTTGAAAATGAACTTCCTTGAAAGCGTCGAATTTTTTTACGAAAAACAAGCTTTTTTCCTGGTCACTGTATCGCGGAAAAACCAAATGATAATGAATAACGATAACATCTACCTGTTTAATTTGTAAACTAATTTAATGTACTTAAAACTAATGTTTACTGTATAGCACACATATTACGGTTTACGAATCTCCATAGTGAAAATGAAAACAAAAACTCACCCTGTATAATAACGTAATTGTTTTGTAGTAAAGTTGATTTTTTAATCCAAGAAGGGCGGCGTAAGCAATTTTAGTTTTCAGAAAGGGGGCGCCATGGAAAGAAGTTTGGGAACCAATGATCTAGAAGCAAAAGGCAAGGGCAAGGTGAGTATAGGTACTTTTCATCCGGCAATGCATTGTTGCCTGTTGTCAGTCACAAATAATAAAAAAAATTGGTGAGTTAGTAACAAAAGAGGGCAATTTGGCTCCATAAAAATCAAGGATCTAACTAAATTTTAGAGTTTTGGTTATAAATGTAGTGTTATTTTTAACAACCCATGAATGTGTACTACCTACCAAATTTCATTTTCATTGTATTGATTTGATTCGAAAGATTAAAAAAAATAATTTACCAATTTTTTGAGTAGATTGTTATAATTATTTGTCACGTAAATTGTAAATAAAAAATTTAAATTTATATCGCTATAGGATTATACATTGCTTAGATCTTAGAAGTCATTTTTAGAGGTATTTTGTTGAACGAAAGTGGTCACTATTAGAGGGTGTGATCGTCTAACGTCTTTTATAAGCGCACAATATTCCATGTGAGGGTTTTAATGCTTCCTATAAAAAAATATGACTTTTATGCTAAAATCCCTCATACATAGGTACTGTTAATACCTGTAATATTTTTTCGTCTGAACATTGTAATATTGGTACACGAGGCAACTCGACTTTATTTTTACTCTTTTTTGAGTGGTTGATAAACAGGTATTATCGTCTGTTGTATAATTAAACGATTCAATCGAAAGTGTTTATTTACTTAGTGTGTATTTTTTATCTCGACTACCTAGGTACTTAAAAAGATTAATTAAGATCCTCGAGTACATTTGCATTGCATCGGAGGCCAGATATGATACCTGCCTGGGTACAATAATCTGGTTTTTTGTTGAAGATAATTATTGTTACAGATTATGATGCTGTTTATTATAATAATGCCTATAGATCTTTTATCGCTTTAATACAGTATGCATCCGATATAGTTCCTAAAATTGGCCCAGTAAACGCTAATGTAAACTTTCTCGAGATAATTCCATATTTTTTTCTGTGATTTATATTTAAAACGCTGATCAGGTCAATGAAAGGTATGGCAATTTAATAATTTAAATAAACATTATGGCTTTGATATGGTAGGTTAGTCTCTTTAGTTATCTCTCCATATCTTTACCTTCAAAGTAGTCCATCATATATTCTGTTTCCAAGTGTCGCACATCAGTGCCATTAATATCTCCAACTCGGATTTCTACAGTCTGTTCATTGTTCAAGCTCAAAAACTACTCCGCCGTTTGTATTCTTTTTGCTTCGTTTCCAGGACTAGGGATATTACCATTTGAAAAAAAAATTTAAATTACGGTTATCACCCCATTAACATAAAAAAAATTTGATTTGCAATTGTATGGTAGAAATGGACATAAAACAGCCATTAACAAAAGGTAATTAAATCTCAAGATATATGACGGAAAAACCAGGAACTGCAGGTGGGACATGTAGTAAGTAATTCGTGGTTTTAACATTTCTCATGTTGCATCATAGTCTCGTGCTTTGTAATTTTAAGGTTACTTATGTGCTTTACGATCAAAGATAATTTTCCATGCTGAACTTCGGTTAAACAAAATTTTGTACGCCACTGTATATAATGAAGACATAACAGACTTCTTTAGACTAAAAATATCAAAAATTCTATAACACACAAAGTCTATTCGGGGTTCGCGAAATTCGCCCCTTACTCTATTGACCACTCATCCGAGTTACAATTCAGCATAACCGTAACTAAAGTTTTCTTTCTTTCCACGGTCATTTTTTTCCCATTGAAACCTGCATTTTCGTTAGGCCAAGTATACTTGTGTTACTTGTTGCCAGATTCGCCCCTCCCACGATCGCGATAACAACATCCTCTAGAAGGGAGATCAGCAGGATTCAACAAACCAGGTAAGTATCTCCAAGACGAAAAGGGGATGAGATTCCCAAACATTCCAGAAAAAAACATACGACATCCAATTTGTAGTCAACTCCAACCCCCTCATCGAGATGACATGAGTTAATAAGTTTTTTTAGTTAAGAATGTAATAATTATACAGGTTGCCCATTATGTATGTAGTATAGTATACATATATCTCGTTAAATATCGAATGTTCTTCTATATGAACATTTTATTCTCCATAATAAGGCAGCATTCAGTTGTTTTCATTTCAGAAAACAAATGAGTAACGAAAAACAATTGAATTTTTTTAAATAGGAATGCACCCTTTCATTAGCCTCATTTGATAGAGATTTTTTTTCTCCTCTTGATGATGTAACATTAATGTTATAGATGTAATTATAATAAATTTTTAAAAAAATTTTCTGCTATGGTACTAACATGTTACATCATCGAAAAGGGGAAAAATGTATATCAAATGAGCCTAATGGTAGGTACACTGCCATTTAAAAAAACTCAATTGTTTTTCGTTACTCATTTGTTTTCTGAAATAAAAGCAAATGAATGCTGCCTTATTGTGGGAAATATGATTTTTATGGTTATTATTATTTTCCATAATTTGTACAAGTTTCCTAAAAAAAATCATGAAAGTCTAAATTAAATTAATATTAAATGTGTCCTAATTTGACTATGTAGTAGAGAACACCATGGTCTGGTGAGAAAAAATGGGTACAGTGGGTTAGAATCGACCCTAGATTTCTTTAAAAAAAAAGCTCGTATCATCGGTTTCCAAAATTCTACGAAACTGAGTATTAGTTCTTTTTTGCAATAATGACGTCAGAAAAATAGCAAATAGACCTTTTCTACCGATCAAACTCCATCAACCTTCAATTAAGTATGTAATTAGGTAATTACAAAAAAATGGATATTCCGTATAGATACAAACTCAGAAAAGAACTCGTCATGCTTCCTTAAATCCTTACGTTCCTAAAAATGGGCCCAGTAAAAAGTAATGCAAACTTTCCCGAGATAATTCCGGATTCCTTCTCTGTGATTTATATTGTTTCAGAAGGCTGATCCTGTCGAAGTAAGATATGCAAATGTAAATACAATGATTTATAAATATGTAAATTCGGCTCATTTAAAATTAAGTGTTAACGTAAATTGTGTATTACAGAACGCTAAATGAATTGGATTGGGCAGGTGCTAATTAATTTGCACAAACAATTTGGTAGCTTTGTTTGCGTCATAAACTTGTAAAGGTTGTCTACATGCCTGAATCTCATAATTTGGCATTAACCACAACTATTTACCTGTAGCGTTCGGCGTTAGCGACAAGTTATGATGGTATTCCCGTAATTTATTGTTATACTGGGAAACAATTTTTCAGCATCCTGGTTTGGTGTGATGCTCGGTGACTTGACAGGATGACGAATAAGATACTCTGTGAGGTCTTGCCGGAAGCACACATTCCTGATTCCTCCTCTTAGTTCATGCACTTCTAGATCAAACTGATGTAGTTAACTTGCCCAGTGGCCTATTTTTAAAGGAACTTTGCAACTTTTCACTTGTCACTTTGCATAATTTTGAAATGCAAAAAGTATTGTCTGTTACATAAAATATTTGTCAACGTAGCATTTGGTGTGTTATTCATCTCTACTAGACATACTTTGAGTGTTATCACGTGTCAGAATAGTCCTTATGGACCCAAATATTATCTGAAAACTGCAAAGTGAAAAGTTACAAAGTAACTTTATGAAATAGGCCCCAGGTCGCGTGTACTTTTTACAAGCTGTGTTACGAGGTCATGGCTCTGCAATCTGCAAGTGGATTTTCCGATCGGAAACTCTAAATCTGAAATGTTCCAGGAAGGAAATGTCGTAATTCTGCTATATTTCTTAGAACGGAATCTTAATCAGTGAGGACGATACTTTTTCCATTTTGCATAACGCAAAACAGATAATCGCGAAAAGTAATGATGTAATAATTTACGTTTTAATTGGGCGATTATATTATCACTAACGCGTTTTGAAGGTCTCCATAAGGATCATCGCTTGTTTTGCTTACGTCAGGAATCCCCAACTGCAATAGTACAGGGGTCTTGGAAGAGGTACTTTTGTGGAAATTCGTTCAGATGCGAAGAGAGTGGTCATTCACATTCTATGTGATAATCGCAGATTACTAGGTGTCATAGATTCTTGGCGTCATTGTGCTGTAGTACTCAGGGTCACAAAAGGATTATTCCAAGAGCAATATCTAGATATTTTTCCATATAGTAATAATCTTTTAGAAGCGATGAGCATGTGTGACGATAGAATTTTAGCAGCGTGTATGGAAGTTTATCGAGACACTCTTCCCTTTTCGCCTGCACATTACCCAATTTGAAATCGCAGTAGCTACCTACTTTCCTAGTTTTTTTTTTTTTTTGGTGTGTTTTTGGCTTTGGCAGTACCAATAAGCCAGCCTAGTTTATAAGTAAGATTTCTATTAAATTTCAAATTTCAATTTTATTTTGTTGTAGAAACTGGTATATGTATAAATATATCGAAATATTTTTGGATTCTAAAAGAAGAAACAATGTTGTAGGGAAAGTGACATTACATTTTTGTAGATTGGTGTAGAATTCATTTCTAAAAGTCGAGTTATTGCTACACTCCAACATAAGGTGTTGCATTGAACCTTCACTACCATACTTAGTTAAACTAGTAAATAATCTTAGTAGCTGTAACCCTTGTGTTGATGGAAAAATCAAATGACCAGCCCTTAATGATTTCGAATGTTAATGTGTTGCTATAAGAGAGCGAATTTGTTAATACTTTATTCCTTCTAGTTCTAGATTTGGTTCTTTATTGAGGAATACTATGGCAACTAAACTAGCGTTCTTCCCAAATTTACTTTTAACTTGAACGTTTTTATTCAGTCACCCTGTACAGAAATGTATCAGTTCTTTCTATAAGTTGTGATATAACCGTTGAGTGTTACTCAATGATATAACCATTGTATATTTTATACAATGATATAACCCATGCCATACAATGTAGTGAGCAGCGCAATAAAAGTAGAAAAGCTGCTAAGTACTAGATTATTTTTAGGTTGACCTTTGTTTAAATAAACAAATTCGTTCAACGTTAATTTTAACGTAACGAAAACTTAATAGTGCGTAAAATGCACGGGGAACCGGTGTACTAAAATTGAAAAAAAATGAGTTAAGGGCATACTACACGGTCGGACGGACAGGCTACCTTTACGATCTCATAAATTATAAATTGTTCGATTCAGTGCAAATAATTGCAAATTTTCGAACAATTAGAACTCTCTCTTTCTGCGGGTATTCACTAGTTACACTTCAAGAACCTCTCCCGTACATCACACACCTGCCACGGACCACGGTTTCACAAACGATGATTAGGGTTAATCAATAATTAAATATGTTATCATGTTAGAATTTGTTTAGGTATAAGGTACGATGTTTCCCATTCTAATATTTTTAATCATTATTTGTCTGAATGCTAATGACAAAGAATGAGTCAAAAGTACGTCGAGCTCGAAGGATTACATTCAAACTTCTTTTCAAATCTTCGCCATAAAGTAGAAAATGCACTCATACCTTGAAATCTTAACCCCAAAGCTTGAATTTATAAGTTATAAATCGCCATTTTGGCATTTCAACCTAGTTGTAACTCGAAATAGTAAAATTTATTATAAATTGAAATTTTAATTTTTTCCAGGATCAAATTTCAAATTGTAAAATGAATTTTGGATCAACATTTCGAAATATAGGTAACGTATAATGTTGAAAAGGAGCACGGTTAAATATGAACCTTTCAGGTGCTCGTAAAGGTCACAATCAAATATCTTTTTAAATAAACGGTTCAGGTTTGACGTATAAGTTGAAATTTTAAAATCTCTACGAATGTCGATATCAAAAATTGTAATGTGACTTTTTTTATGTTGTCTACATTTCTAGCGCATTTCCACAAAAATTAAAAAAATGTGTTAATTTAGGAGTGTAATACCCCTAATCATTTATATCGTTATTAAGTTAATTTTTATCAATAAAAAGGCTGTTATTCCTGCATTTTCCCAAAACAAGTAATCCCAACTCCACAAAAAAACATTCCGATGTGTTACAGAATTTAAAAAAAACATTCGAGCAATTGTTACTGTTCAATAAACGGCCATTGTAAATTGTTGTATAGTGTTTAATTTAGGGGCGTAATACCCCTAATCCTTTATATCATTTTTACATTTATGTGCGGTTTTTTCTGAAATTTTAAGGGAAAGTGCTTATTAAAAAAATAAATTAATAGTTATTAATGATACAAGTTCGTTTATGAACGTTATAATGAAACGCGTACGTGTAACGTTAAATTCACGAGGCGTAGCCGAGTGATTTTAGATATATGAGTATAAAACTAAAATGAAAGCCCATTGTTAATGCAGAAATTTACGATTACGATTTTTTTTAACTTCTTAATTTTTATTCCCGAAATGAAATCGAACACTTTTCAAGTAAACAAGACTCTATAGAGAAGTTCCAGCATCCGATTTGTAATAACAATACTCAAAAATGACTAAAGGCCACGAAAGTTATTTGCTGGTAAGCACCAAGTTAAGATAAATATATGCGACAAGTAATTTGATATTAATTTACAGGGCCCGTGCCTCGTCTATAACAATTTTGGGGGGCAGTGCAGCCCCTAGAATGATAATTGATAAATCAGAACAACATTTTTTAAAAAAGGTACACTACATACACGTCTTTCTACGAGTAAATACAGAAATATAAATTATCTTTGTACATGTTCAGTGTCAACTTTTTAGTATAAACGGTTGTGCCCCCCCCCCCCAGGGAATTTTCAAAAGTCGGCGCCTATGGTTTCAGAAACAGAAGGAGCAGAATGGAGGAATCACGTGTATCAAATAACAAAGCTCAATAACAGTAACTACTTCAATTGGAAATACAAATGGGAATTGCTATATTGAGAGAAAAAGAAGTATGGCACGTCATTGAAAAGAATATGTGAGGCAGAGTGTTGAATATTCAAAGAATTTAGCATGCCGAATATTTGAATTTTGTTTTGTGTTGATAAAACTTTCATAAATTCGGATTTTTCTGTTTATAACATAAATATTGACGGAAAACCACTGAGTTTTCTGAGGAATTTATCTAAGGGCTGGATTCTTCTTGCATTATATAGCGTAGATTTTGAATGTATGCCAGGCCGCCTTTAAATATTTCTGTGTAAAGGATACCCTTTCCATTAATCAACTACCAAGGAAGTAAACATCGAACAATGGTACTACTAACCCAAACATCCTACTAAGCTTTCGGTAATCGGTTTAAAAAAATGCGCTTTCCCTGCACAATTTATACTTGTTTTGAATTACTTTGATTCTTAAAATCATAACACAATGTTGAATTTTGTTAGTTTAGATTGCCAAAACGAAATTTTGGAATTGGTGTTAGATTTGTTTTTATTCTAAGTGCCTATGTATCAAATTTCATTTAAATGCTTTCATAAATAAAATCAACAGAAAATGTTTAAGCAGATCATGGTGTCATGGCGATTTTTGGTTTAGGTACTTTTTTATCAAATTTGTTTGCATCATTATAGTTTTCCCAATGTCACTAATTAATTAATTGCTGTATAAAAAATATATACACGGGAAAGGTAAAGTAACAAGTAACGAGAAATAACACCAGCTGACTAATAGATAAACATAAGGAAAGAAAAAAGTAAATTATACATAATTAGCTTAATCGCATACAAAATTACATAATGCCCAGCTTATGGAATTAGATCACTAAGTACTCAATCTCTATTTATACTTCTACTGATGCCATCATTTAAAAAAACATCAATCAAATTGCAAACCAGTTGTCACGCGCGATTCTTCAGCAGGAAAAAATAAACGAGAAGATGAAAAAACAATTAAAGGAATCGAATTTAAATTACAATTGCTTATAAACACAGCCCGTTTTACAAAATTGTAAAATAAAGAGTTATACTTGGCTAACCAAGAGTTTTTTAAATACATAATGAATTTATGCGGGGATGTCCGCGCTTAATGATATCATTGTTCTATCGTAATTTGGATTTCACATCTAAAAATTGTTACTGAAGTTGTCAGTTTAAGTGACCCCTTTTTGTGTATTATTTAACTACTACCTATACATATAGATATTGTATGCAGTTATATGCGTGCAGGTCATCGGAAAAACCTATAGGAATCATCAAACAATGCGTATGCATTTCGTTTGTTATAGGGTTTACGACAATGCCTCATACATAAATTATTGGCTGTAAGTTTCTTTTTCGACTTACACTATAGAAAGTGGTATGTGCAATTTATGCAAGTGTGACATTCTAGAATTGTATACCAGCAGATGATGCAGGATATGTACCTAGCTACGGATTTACAAACGCACGTGTGCCTTCCACTGATCAGTTAACCACAGTACAGGATTACCCAGCTTCATTACGTTTTTCTTAGAAAATATTAAAGATTCGTCGGCGGACCACCCTACTAAATTACTCATTTAAAAAACCTATAGGTAAATCAATTAGAACGTATTTAGATTTGTGGAGGCAACACACAGGAAGAACTCTCTAATAGATTTTGCCATGTAGAACCCAAAATAGACAAAAATCGTCAAGTTATGATCGGAAATCCAAAGCAAATGGTCTTTCATCTTCCTTGTAAATCGTTTATTCATGCGTAGATGTAGATCTTTTCGTAGTGGACAATTCTCCAGGTCAAAATTTACTAGATGAATGAATAGAATAGGAAACAATCGCCACAGATTAGTCTCGCTTCTTTTTCTACACGATGAAAAACTGACAAACGATATTAATATCTAAAAATAAATTTTTATAATAATGCAAATCGTTAAACCGCTTAGAACACTAAAAAAGCAATAAAATTGTGAAATTTTTAACTTTTATTTAACAACTGTCCCGATGATTTTGCGGCAATATAAATCATGATCAATAATGAAAAAATAAAGTAGAGCAGACTCCAAAAATAGTAAGTGATTTTTGTGATCATGCTCCTTTATCCAGAGTTATGTTACACGAATGAAGGTCGATTTCAATCGTAGTTTCGTTACAGTTAAATTGGTATTGAAGGTGTTTGTTTCTGATCGTACATTGCAAGGTTATGCTATACCGCAAAAATATAATCAAGTAATTTATGTGGAATTATTTTTACCAAAAACCAAAGCTCGTATATGGAAATCAATAAAATCCAAAACAAATTTTTTAACTATCGAAAATGCAGTAATAACGGGCGATCAAAAATGAGTTGCTATCGAGTCGCCTTTGGAAGTTCAAGTTAAGTACGATTTCCCATGTAAACAAAAATTCCAAAGGTGACTCGACAGCAACTCATTTTTGATCGCATTGTACTATGCGATCAAAAAAGAGTTGCTGTCGAGTCACCTTTGGAATTTTTGTTTACATGCAAATTCATATTTAGCTTGACCTTCCAAAGGCGACTCGACATCAATCCTTTTTTGATCACCCGCTACTTGCTGATACTTCCTTGGCTAGTTGAATCTCTGAAGCACACCCGACCGAAATAAGTATAACACCTACATTTTATTCTCTTATTTTCAGTATAGAAATATTCATTTCATGCAGTATTTATGACGTTCATTGCGACAATGATTTTAACGATAAGCGCGGTAAACGTAACTTTTATTTGCACCATAAAAGACATTTATGATGCCAATGAGCATTAGAAGTTAATTGAGTTTATGTAAAACAGTTATATTTATTTATATAATAACGTCAAGTTCAATGTCGTGCATTGGGATGAAAAGAGTAACGATCTGAACCAGTGGCATCCATTAGTAGGTATTAATTGACCCAATGGGTCGCTAATTCGGCAACAAATTTGAATAGTAAGATATGAAATGGTCCCATATTGGGTCTATATTTGGTAAACTATTCCATTTTTATTTTGTGGTATCATCACATAACATAATTCGCAGTTAAGTGTTTATATTAGAAATTGCTGAAAATTTGTTTGGTTTTTGAAATAGTTTGAAAAAATCGGATTTTTGAAATAGTTTGAAAAAAGCGGATTTTTCAAACAATTATGGCAGTATCTAAAAAGATTAGAGGGTCGAGGTGTTCGGTCGTGACTCGTGATGATCGGCTGCCAGTTATAAAGAGGAGGCAGTGGCAGACTCGAAAAGAACGAGGGAGCTGGGGGGGATTTTTATTGCCACAACGACAAGAGCTACATATATTGTTTGGAGACGCCTCCTTCATCATCGACGGTTGAAGGTCCAATATTTAAGGGTCAATGCCCATAATTCAGGCGTCAGATTACAAATTAACAACAAGGTTCGATTCTAACACCCTAGTCATCATTTGTGGAGTGGTGCTAGCAATGTTCTTCCGTTGAAAAATTTTGATATAATGAACCCCTATCCGAAGAAATCAAGCTGGATTATATTGGGTGAACGCGCTGCCCAGTGTTTCCGTACACGCGCTAATCACTTTTTCTGAAATCTCATTGAAAGATATTCCCGAACGGTCTAAAATTATATGCAGGCGCACCATCCTGTTGTATACAACTTTACAACCCTGGCGAACTATTGCCAGGGGCACGTTAACAAAAGAGCATCCTCTAAATCGGAAAATTCATATTGTCTTGTCATTTTCTTATGTACCATTCCAAGAGTAGGCGACGACTTTCTAAATCATCCGATCTAAGTCCTTAACAAATTCGGTATTTGTACGGACGTAATTTTTGTTTTTGTAAAATACAAAAATGTTTTGATTTTGGTATAGAAAATCTCGGGATACTTCTGCAAATACACAGGTACACTCCCCAACAGAACAATTTCGATTGGCTCTAACTCAACGTTAGAAAAATAATTAATAGAAAAAATACTAATTATTAAACAATTAAAAAAACACCAAATTAATGTGTGAAAAAAACAACATTAGGTACTGCCAGTTTAAATACACTATTACCACATTCATTTTCTTACAAAGCATACTTTTTTCTTGGTGATATTGGAGTATTATACTTTTGGACAATATTAATAATTTTATCTATTAATTGTTTTCTAATGAAGAAAAGCTTTATATGGTAGGATATTTCATTTCAGCTTACTGAAACCCTTCTGGAAAATGCGCTAAAAATGAAGTTACCTCAAAAACCAAAAAATGTTTCAGGGATTTCTAAACGATAAACGATAGACCTTTGAATGCGCAACTTTTCTCTCATTTAACCGAATTTGTACCTCC